GCCAGGGCGGGGGGGAGCGGGGAGCTCGTAGCAGGCATTTCTGCAGCTGCAGTATCTGCCACACGCTGGTCTCATCCTGACCCGCTGCGGGTGCCCAGAGCTGCTCCCACCAGGCAAAGGTGCGGAGCACGGGAACGCCCTTCTCTTTGGCCAAAGGCAAATCGGGAAAAAAGGAAAAAGCACTTGAGAGAAGGATGGGGGAAGCAGACAGCTGGTCGCCACGCTGGCGGCACAGCTTGCCTTTCTTTGCCAAATCCCCCAGGGAGCTCCATGAACCTTTTTGACACTTGAGCTGTGGGTTATAGGGCAGACGGACGCAACTTTTTCAGCGGCAGGGGGAGCAGGGAGGGCTCCTAACACCCTGCCAGGGCGTTTCTGCAGAGCTGGGCCATGTCTTCCCTGGGATGCAGGGAGGGAAGGGGACATTTTTGGCCTCAGTCCAGCAGGGCTAAAGCACAGCCGGCACCTGGCACGCTGCTGGCACGCTCAGCGGCATCCCACGCACCCCCAGCCTGCGAGAGCAGCAGCAGTGCCTGCCAGCGAGGTTTCCTATTCGCCGGTGATTTTGGAGCCGGACACAGAATGTGTCCTCTGAAGTAGTCTCGCTCCCTCTCTCCATCACGTTAAGACCTGCTGTTGCTCAGTGTCAGCTGTTGGGCTGAGCAAGGACAGAGCCGCGGCGTTGGCATCAGGCAGCGAAGCAACGAAACCCTTGGCAGGCAAGAGGGAGGGAGAGATGCAGGGGCAGGCGACCACAGGAGGGGCGACACCGCACTGGCGCAATGACAGGGATGAAGTCAGAGTGGCTGCAGAGCCGTGCTGGGAAGCAGGAGAGGGTGGCAGGGGAAGAGCAGCGCTTCCTTGCAGGCGCAGAGTTTCTGCTCATCAGCGACATTGTTCCTCTTTCATTTATCTTTACAGCTGGCTGTTCTCTGCTCCCCGCACAGAAGATGAGAACGGCGTTTACTGAGAGAAGCAGCTTTCCTGCCAGCCTGTGAGCGCTGGCGAGTGGCACCGGCCATGGGAGCATCCTTGTGGGTCTTCCCACTGTGGATGCACACAAACCCCGAGCAGCCCTGCTAAGGCAACCACGAGGCTCGGGGAAAGGTTGAAATGGAGGATTTGGCAAATAAAACCCCACAAACCCCAGAGCTCAGGCGGGATTGTGCCTCTGAGCACCTCAACAGGGCATTTCAGCTGGCCGAGTCCCTTTGCTCTTGCTCCGTTGAGGGCTGAACATCCACTTTCCCATGGAGGGATGGTTTCAGCCCACTAAGTCTTGCCGTCAGGAAGCACATGTTGCTGCTGTATTTACCGGTCCCATTTCCTTTGCAACAGCCATTTGCACACTGCAGGGCTACTTGGAGTGCACACACATTCTCACCAGCAGACAGAAAATTTCCTGTTCCTGGAAGCATTTGTGCAGAGAGGCAATTTATTTCTCATGCACCTTCCTGGCTAAAGCAGGTTATGGTGGCTTTTGCTCTGCTATCACTGCTGGGGAGAGCTACAGGCAGGGGAGAGGACAAAGCCAGGACAACAGAAAACTTATTTACATTGACAGATGCGATAAGAGAATTGCACTTACTTCAGGCAGGACAAGCCAGTTCATCATCTTGCCTTTTATCAGTGGTAGGGTGTCTGCTAGAGCTCTTGTTCCTGGGCTGATAGCACCAGGGGGACAGCTGCTCTGCCCTGCAGCTGGTGCCCTCCTGCCCTAGCATTAAATATCACCTATTATAAAAGCTTCCCCGGTTCTTCCAAGTGCCATTTGCCATCTCACGTGTTTTCCTGAAACCCACTTTGGAAATGCCCGTGGCAAAAAGGATGCACTGAAGACTGGGGAGCAAGAAGCCGCTGTGGAAGTGGGCAGGAGCTGGATGTGCGGGTGTTATCCAGTCCTGACGCTGTCCTGCACACTGGGGCTGTTGAGAACCAACACAGGAGGTGATGCTGGGCAGGAGCTGAGGTCTCCTCAGTGCCTTTATGCAGGAGCGAGGGATGCGAAGCAGGGCCCATGCTGTGGTCCATCGGCACAGCTTGCACCCAGGCATGGCTGATCCCGTGTCATGGTCCAGATCGCTGACATGGGGGATTGCTGGAAATGCTCCTGCTCCACCGGGGCAAGGCCTGTGTTCAGCGTTGAAGATGACACCTCGGGGAACAGGTTCACTGCCATGTCAAAGGCCCCCGTACTCCAGCACAGGGGCTGCTGCAGAGGAACAGCACTCGAGCCTGCAGCTCTCCAGCACCGCTTGGTCCCAGTTTCCAGGAAAGCTGCTGAGTCTCCACAGAAAGCCGAGTTTCAGGCAGGACTATGGGCATGGATAAGTCCAGCACTGAACACTACCATCCTGATGGTTTTTCCCCTCCAGGTCCCTGCTCTGCCTGCGACCAGGCTGTGAAGTGGCCATCCTCTGGGATGAAAGAGGCTGCAGATGAGAGAGCCCTGCCAGAGCACAGCCCTCCCAGAGCCCTGTCCTGCCCCCGCGGGTCCCCACTGCCCCCTCCCTCTCGGGGCAGTGACCCCCTGCTCCGGGCTGGCAGCTGTGGTCCCCACAGCTGGGTGACCCCAAAAGAGCCAGCGCCTGGCACCGAGGACCAGCTCCTGAACTGTACCAACACAGGCTAGGAAAGGAGGAGGCTGAAATAAAAAAAACTTCAGAAAAGAATGACAGGAATTATTTCAGGGCTGGAACAACCTGCCTCACACTGAGTGAGTGAAGAAGCCAATCTGTTTAGTTTATCTAAGGGAAAGTTAAGAGGGAACTTAGATGCATCTATAAATACCTACATGTTGGGAACATTTCTGATTGCCACGGTCCTTTATCCTAGCAAACAAAGGCAGCAAAATTTCCTGGGGCTGGGAGCTAAAGTGAGAGAAATCCAGGCTAACAGCAAAGTGCAGATTTTTAATGGGAAGGATAAATAGCCATCAGGCCAGCCAGGCTAGGGACACAGCAGACCCATCGCATGAAGTCTTAAAATCAAAGCTAGGTGGCTGCTGCTAAAGGAGACATTGCAACTCAGCCAGACATTTGGGGCTGGATGCAAGAGCCGCTGCACTCCACAGCCTGGGACAGTTACGAAGAAAATCCCTTAAAATCTGACTGTTCTGGACTGATCAGGCTCTCACCCCTCGTGGGTTTTGCCCCATGACTCCCCCATCTGTGGTTGTGGTTCCCTCCCACTGGCAAACGGAGACCGGCAGCCAAGCTCATCCTCCTGTCGTGTTCAGAAAACCACTGTCTTGCCCTTCCAAAACTGGTAAAGATTTGGTGAATGTTTGAAAACATAGAGAGTAGCAAAAGGAAAAGGAGAACTTAAACAGTAAGGGGAAAAAATGGGGCATTACCCATTTTATTGCAGTCCAGAATAAGAAGGGAAACATTTAAAAAGGAGAGAAAAGCAGCAGTGCAATTTTTGTATTTAAAATATTTTGGAAGAAGATTTTGACTTAGCAAACAAGCATTATTTCAAACTATGCCAAGGAAAACAACATTTTCATATTATTTTAAATCTGTGGTGAGCTCCATCCATCCCGGCCACTTCATCCCTCCCAAAAGTGCATTTTGTCCTTCGCTTGCCCCTAAAACTCCCCTCAAAAGTGTAGCCCAAATGATGCACTCGCACCAGGAGGAAGCTGAGATTTATGATGCACATCCAAATAAGCGGTGTTTCCAAGTAAATAAGACAGCAGAGAAAAGCTCCTGGTAAGCTGAGGAATGGACCTGCCATTTAAGAGCTCAGAGAAAAAAATACGGAGATCTGCAATGTGGGAGTGTGCCAGCGCTGGGGGCAAGAGGGATGGGGCTGGAAGGATTTCCAGCTCCATGGAGCCTCTTTTTTTCTGCGCCATATCCACCTGGCCTCCAAGCCCTGAGGGCTGACACCGGGCCATGGTAAATGCTAACGCAAGGGGATGATTTCGGTGTCGTCCAGCCCCTGGCACAGGTGACTGCTAGATTTCCTAGCCTGAGCATCACCAGAATAGCCATGAGGAAACACTGCCAGCCCCAGGGGAGGAAAATGCCTCCTCGGCACCATCCCTGCAGTGCTACGGGCACACGGCCCTGGTGCTGTCCCCTCAGTGCCAGCTGCTGGCTGGGCTGGCAGGGTAGGACACGGCGTGGGGCGCACGGAGGCTCACCTGGGGCAGGGCGCTGCGAGAGCCAAGGACCAGGCTGCAGACGCTGGCCGGTGCCTCCGTCCTCCGTGCTGTCACCCTCACCAGCCGTGGCGTCATCCCCAGCGTGCTGTCCCCAGCCCCTGCGGGAAGCCTCTGCTCACTGTCCTGGGACACATCCTGAAATGAGACAGGGGGTACATGTGGGTAGGGCAGGCCAGCTGCCTCCAGGCACCCCCACAGCTTCTGGAAGGGAAAGTATGAGCTTTCCCCCATGCAGGGGGCTCATACTGCCTTTGGTGAGCATCCCACCGCCCGTGACAGCCTGCTCTGGCACTGGCCCATGGGCAGCGGGGTCACTGCAGACAAAGGTGGAGGCTTGCAGGCAGGGGACTCCAGGGCTGTTCCGCCACCGAGTGGGGGCAGCTCCCTGTTGCATTTGACATTTCAGCAACACAAGATGCCTCAAACACATTTTATGGAGAAAGGAGAAGGGATTTGATGGTGTCGATGGGCTTGGGCTGTGTTCAGCGCAGGGAAGCCCTGAGACCAGCTGCTTTGCTTGTCCCCCCTGCATGCAGGGCACTGCGGGGAGAGCAGGAGCACCCCTCATACCAGCTGCAGCAGGCCCACGGCTGCTTCCCCACTTGTTTCCTCATTGATTTTTAAATGTATTTATTGACTGTCACATCTCCTCAGGGCCCCATGGACTGGCCTGGCCGCAGAGACCTGTGGCTATTGCCAGCAGAGCTTGCCAAGTGGGTGGATCAAGGCTACACGAGACCCAAAAAACCAAAGCGGGATCCCACTGCCTACGGTATAACACCACTAAAAATTTGTTCATAAACACAGACTAGATCTGCAGGTTTGCCTTTAACTAGAGGGACTGCCACTGTGAAGGCGGTCAAGAAAAAATGGGACTAAAATGGTTCCTGAGTCAGAGGGACACAGATATCTCCTGCACTGATTGTGGGCAGTTTTGTCCCCCCCGTTCTTGATCATCAAACTCCTTTAAAGTATTCCTCCTTAGGAGACATCGGTCAGCTCCACTGTCCCTGTGTGCCATGCAAATTTGGTGTCCCCGCAGGTATAGGATGGGAAGCGAGTTCAGTCTGTGAGGCAGAAATATGGTGTTTATCTAAGGATTATTTCGCTGGAAGGAGGAATCCCCTAATTTTTGTATTTCTGCACAAATGTTCCTGTGTCCCCAGTTCAGGGGGATCCCACAGCATCCCTTGGCAGGGCACAAGGCAGTGAGAGGGGGACGGGAAGAGGGCCTGCAAAGGCACGGGGCAATTTTATTTACCTTGGTGCCTTTGAGATAACTGAGAGCCTACTGCTCAATTCCTGCCTCCCCACCTGGTGCCGTATCTTTTAAAAGGCTGTTGAAAATTAAAGAGAATGCAAATAAGAGAGACAGAAGTTATCTGAGAGCTGGAAAAAAATCCTGAAAAGAGAAACTCAAAAGACTCAACCTACTTCACTTATCAAAAGCAGCCTGCAAGGTGGCTAGATCAGAGAGCTGAAACACCGCTGAGACAGCGTCAGACGGGAGCAGCTAATCCAGCTGCAACAGCAGAGCAGGAACCAGAGCTGGAGCTGAAGCTATTTGCATTAGGAGTAATTCAATTAACACTTGTGAACCAGAGAAGTTAATTGAGTTGCCTCATTAATGAGACAAGCTATGACACAGGAGGTGTGGAAACACCCTGGGTGTGAGCTGGCTGGGCTGCAGTGGCCAGCAGCCTCCTGTGCCCCTTGCCTCCCCTTTGGTGCAGGAATGTGCAGGGTCTGGCCCTGCAGCATCGTGCCAGAGCAGCTCTTACCTCAGGGAGGTTTTGGGGCTCTCCAGCTGTGACTGTGGAGCTGGGCTCGCTGGCCTCATGCTGCTGCCTGGCTGTGCTGCGACGTGCGTCCGGGCTGGGAGGCTGCAGGGGTGCGGAGCGCAGTGTGAAATCGTAGAATTCGTGGATATCTGCAAAACAGCATGAGAAACATCCACAGGACCGGGGAGGCAGCCCAATGCCAGCATCCTGCGTGGGGTGCAGCACCTGTGCCCACCCACTCTGCCCCCAGAGCATCATAAGTCTGAGTCCTCTGTGAGACGCTGGCACCCGGGCGATGGGCTGGGACAGGCCTCTGCTGGCTCCCCACCCTTGCCGTGCTGCCCACCATGCCCGCCCCCACAAGGCAAGAGGTGCAATGGGGTGCCTGGCTCAGCACACAGCGCCCCACGGCTGTGGAAGGCACAGGCATTTCCACAGAGCAATGACCACATGCTTCACGGGGACTAAGAGCAAACTGTGCCCAGAAACATCAATCATAAACCCGCCCCATCCCACTCTCCTCCAGGCTGTGCCAGCCCCATGCATGGTCCCATGTCCTTTCTGCTCCAAGAAGCCTCCTGCACCAGGCAGCCCCCGCCTGCCCCGACGCTGTCGGGTTTTTCTGGCCCCATCGCTGCTCCCCAGCGCCCCTGGCCCATGGAGGGGCTCCCTTCCCACGGGGACAGGCAGAGAGGGCATGGGGCACTAGCACAGCAGGCTCACGGTGTACAAGCTCCAAAGCTGATGGCTACAGCTGTGTTATCTCCAGCTCCTTCCCCGATAAATTCCCTCTTCCCACCTGGCACAATACTACCTGTGCACTGCCACAAGCAGATGCCATGTATCCTCACTCTGGGTTCCAAGGACTTGAGTCTGCTGCTGTAAATCATAGTGGCTCCAGAGAGAGGCATGAGAATGGGGTGTCCCAGCCCTCGCTGCTCCAGAAACAGTTATGGGGTGACAGCGGGACCTGATGGCAGCTGCTGCCCGGGTGTAGCTCCAGAGGGGCTGTGGGAGCCCAGACGCTTTCCTACCCCTGCCAGGAGCATTTTACCCTCTCCCAGTCATACGTGGAGGCTTGCAGGGAGCAGCAGGGCTGCAGTGGGCTTCGCTCTTCCCTAAGGAAGCCCCCACTGCCGTGCACTCAGGCAGCTGCCAGCTCCCAGCAGCCCCCAGCTCATCTCCAGAGCCAGGTCAGACATGGACCTCCAGATCCAGCACTTCCGCAGGAATGACAAAAGCCAATATACCCATTGCAGAAGTGTTTAATTTCAGAAAAGGAACTACATCAAAAGTGAGAAGCTTTTTTACGAAAAAACTGAAAGGGGTAACAAAGAGGGTAAAACATTTGTGGGAGGCACTAAGCCTATTTAGAGAGACCTCACTGGAACATCAGAGCAAACGCACAGTGCCTGGCCGGAGGATACTGTAAAGGCAAAAGGGAGGAAAGCAAGGCTGAACCACAGAGGAAGGGAGGCTATTAAAAGCGAGAAGACATTCATCTAAACAGCTGAAGCTACGTCCAAATGAGAAAACCAGAAAGGATGGTAAATGCTGCCAGGTTAAAGGTAAAGCTCCAAAAGGTCAGCCAAAAGAGTTGCAAAAGGCATAAAAAAGTAATAAATCCCTTCAAGCACCTGGGAAACAGGAAGCCTGGCGGAGTCCGCAGGGCCAAAAAGTCACGGCAGCATAAATAAGCACTCAGAGCAAGGAAAGCCACAGCAGGAACCTGAGTTTATTTTCTGTACCTGCATCTGCGGAGGAGGAGGCTGGAGAGCCCCTCTTCTGTGAGCGACCCCAAGGGCAAGCGGTGGGTCTCAGCTCGAAGGGGCCGTGGCTGTTCCCCCGGCGCTCCCTGGGAGCTCAGGGATGAAGCAGCTGCGCCAGCCCTTCAGTGTGCAATTTCTCACCTGAAACTATGCCACACTGAGGCACCACAGGGTATTAAATGCCCACTTTATAAAGATTTCCAAAGGAAATCTGGTGAGCGCTGGGCAGTGTAAGCAGGGACATGCTGAGCACTGCCCGAGGCTATTTCCCAGGAAGGCTTTCACAAGCAGGATTGCACCCCCAGACGCAAGTCCCCATCCTCTCCCTGTGCTTAACCACATGCCCATACACTGCAGCAGCACATCCATGTTGCAGATGGGACAGGGAGCAGCACTGACCCACATCATCCAGCTCCCAGGGGCTGCCTGGTGACCTCCCAGCTGCATGGAAAAAGCTGCTATAAATCTCGGCTGCCGGCAGAGTGGCTTTGTGCCCACGGTGAGCCCAGTCAGGCTGTGTGGCCGCCCGAGCCCAGGGAGCACCGTGCCAGTGCCTGGTGTCGATGCTGCTTTTGGAGCTGCTGCTTTGCGCTACATCATTGCCAGGCTCTGTCCTGTGCCGCGGGAGAAATGGGGCAGCCGGCAATGACAGGAGGAGTGGGAGGCCCCCCACCCACCCACCCCACCTGGGGGAGGAGTGGGAGTCCCCCCACCCACCCACCACACCTGGGGCACCCCCTCCATAGCCCCCCAGGTGCTAAGCACGCTGCTGGCAGCCCCTGAAGCCCTCCCAAATCAGACATGAGGTCATGGCAAGCAGTCATCGCACAGCCAGACAAACGGGACTTTGTTTTCGTGCAAAAACATCTCTCCCTCTGGTTATAAAAATAGTCATTGCGTAACGGGATAGCAGGAGCTCCTGGCTGTGTGGATTACGCTTGGAATGCATAAAACTTCGCAAAAATGAAAACAGGATTTGAGCAGCCCCATCGTGGGGGTGCACCGCTGCCGGTGTCCCCGTTTGTCACCCATCTGCTGCAGGAACACAGCCTTGGGCAGTCAAGCTGGCAAGGCGCCTGTGGAGTGAGAAGCTTGTCTTCCGAAGCAGCTGCTCTCCACCTCCGAAACCCTCAGCCCATTTTAGATGCTTGCTGGGAGAGGTGATCGTTGCTGGCACCAGGGATTAGAGGTGTTTCAGGATCGGGAGATGGGGTTCAGGCAGCGAAGGGCGCAGCCGTGACAGGAGTACATTTTAGGACACACGCACATGTGGCATTAAAGATAATTTAAATATATGCTGGTTTCCTTCATTTCTTATGGGCATCACAAGTTGCACACGAGTCTGCCTCACCTGCACACTTTAAGAGCAGCACTACCTGAAAAGCTTCAGTAAGAGGACGTTGTGGTAGCAAAAGATGATGCTGCATGTTCTGTCTTACAGCCCAATTTCTGTTTGATGACAATGTAAATCCACTCTGGATCTAATAACGAAGAGTAACTCAAGATTTGCAGAGATTAGAATTTGTCTAACAATTTCCTCCTGAGGTCAATACGTCAAATAAATGTCATTAAATATTTCTATAGCACCAGCATCCAAGGGCTAATGCAGCGCCCTTGTGCCAGCCAGCACGCACACTTCCAGAAAATGACATTTCTTCCCCAACATGTGCATTGTCATCAGCTGTGTCACCGCAGATTTACCCCAGGCAGAAACTCCAGCCTTGCACCAGCCTCCCCGCTGTGGCCCTGCTGCTGTAGGGAGGATTCACACCTATAGCCGCCACAGCAGAGCTTTCAAGCAAGCTATGAGTTTCCATCCTTGGCTATGGGCTAATTTGCAAGAGGAGGAGTCCTCAGGGCTGGGAATCCTCCAGATTCCTCCAGTTTTCCACCCTGGCTCCTGCAGCCACCCGTTGAAGCCATGACTGCCATCCCCAGCAGCGCTGCTGATGAGCTGAGTTCCCGGCTGGAGTTTTCTACCCAGGGAAGCACCGCGGGTCGGCAACAGCCTGCCTCTCCTTGTGCCTCTGCAGCAGCAAGGCTCTCCAGGAGGAACGTTTTTTGGGGTAAAAGGAGCCGCAGGGGAGGATTGGGCCCGAGCAGCCGACAGGACCTCATTGGGGTCTGTGCTAGCCACAGCTTGGGCACAGGAGAGGAGCTGAGCCCCAGAGGGCTTTCGGGAGGAGCACTGCCCTTTGGGCTGCTGGCAGCCGGGGTGGCCGAGCGCACACAAACCCTGCCTGTCCGCCCAGCTTCGCCTGCTGCAAAGGGCACAACAACCCCTTTCAGTCCCGGCTTCAGGAAGGAAAGGTCAGTGAGCTGCTTCTACGTGTGAGCCCTGTCCTCCCCGGCAGCACGAGACAAGGCCAAGCATCAACCCAAGGGGCTCCAGGCAGCAGAGGCAAGGCAGGGCTACAATCGCCCCAGCCCAGCCGCAGTGCCCCTGAGCCCAGGGTCCTCGAGTGCCCTTTCACCAGGCTGTGTCTCTGCAAGTCATGCGCTTGGCTCCATGGCCTCAGACGCAGGGA